GAACTGTGGCAATGAGAGAGATTATCCACCTATCAGGGATGGGTTGGAGCATTAGAAGTGGGCTGTGCTGCCCTCCCTAAGGGTACTGTCATACTGCTGACTGAGCTGGTTCTCGGGCTCTGGACTCTTGGCATGATGATAAAAGTCTCTCAGTTCCTGGTTCCTGGCCATCTGCCAAAATGAGAAGGCTCCTGAATGTGGGTATACACTTACTTCTAGGCCTTGATACACACGCGTGCATGCACACACACACTGAAGACACATGGATAGTTCAGGTCACAGGCCTCAGGGCAGGGGAGGCCCCTAAGACATCCTATTTGACAGCAGGACATCAAGGCCCCTGGTTTCTTGTCTTTCTGCTTCTTCCCAAGTCCACATACTGCTTGCCTGCATGCAGTACTCACCTGAGCAAGCCCCTCAGCTTCAGTTATAACTAAGCTGGCCAGTTCAACTCCCCAGAATTTCAATCCTTGTTCACGTAATTCCTTTTGACAGACATGGAAATCCAGGCTCTGGGCCAGTCTGTCAGTTGTATCCAGAGGACTAGGGAGAGAGGGTTCAGCTCCAGGTCGAATCTCTTATCCTATACCCTGTGCTCTGGCTGAACTCAGTTCCCCAAGCTCACTCTTTGGAGTCTATGGTCTTTGGAGTCTATGGTCTTTGGAGTCTATGGCCTTTCCCTAGAGCCTAGAAGTCTAGTCTGTGGCAGTTGGTCCTCCCTTTCTCCAGGGTCCGTGGACATCCTAGACTGTATACTAGAGCCATTGGAAGGCCAGTAGTGCAGACCGTCAGCTGGTGCTCCACAGCTCCATCTGGCAGAAGGTGAGGGAGGCTTTGCTCTAAGGACAACCTCAGAAACAGGCCCCTAAGTCACTGCCCTGGATGTGCCTGAATCGCCACCTAGTGGTGGCATGGCCATACCACAACAAGGCCTTGTGCTGGGACTCCACCAGCGGTCCCCATGTGGATCTGGCTGGGTTGTCAGAGAGAAATGTCGGAGTCTAAGGAGGTGTGCAGACAGAGCAGGAGGCACTGTGACACAGGAGGCAACTGGTCAAAGAACTAGATCTGAGTACCAGGTGGAGCCTGGGAGACAGGAGGCTGGCCATTGTGGGCCTTTGGATGCGAGCTCAGATTTGGCTACGAGGGTACTGGGAGTCATCGGACATGCTGGGTGGATGTAATGCTGCTTTGGGAACAGACTGGGATGCTGCAACTCGGGCAGAAGGATGATGCTGGCAGGGGAGGGTGGTGAGGTGGCAGGTACTGGCTGAATCTGAGAACTGGGAGGGCTGTTGGACAGGATGGGGCTGTGACTGAAATCAGGGTGTCAACAGTGACTCTAAGAAGGGAAATGCGAGGGAAGGCGAGGTGCCTGCACATATATGTAGTCCTAGTTGCTGCTTAGGAGGCTGAGGCTGGGGGATTGTTTGAGTCTAGAAGTTCAGGACCAGCCTGAACAAAACAGGAAAGCCCTGTCTCAAAACAAAAATGAAAATGACGAAAGAAAGAGAGAGCAAGAGAGAGAGAAAGAGAGAGACAGAGAAAATATTTTTCCAAGTTGGGGAGGCAGAGATGGCCTAGTTGGGTGGAGGCTCTTACTACTAAGCCTGACAGCCTGAGCTCAGTCCCTGGGACCCACATGGTGGAGGAAGTGGTCTTCTGACCACATGTGCACTGTGGTGGGCATGTGTGGGTATGACATACACATGCTCACATATACAGAGATACTATATCAATATAGTAAAAATTTAAGGAAGGAAATGAATGAGCCAGGTAGGATGGCATACTCCTTTGATCCAATAGGAGGTAGAGGCAGGTGGATGGCTGTAAATCCAAGGCCAGTCCGGCCTACATATAGTTAATTACAGGCCAGACAGGGTTACACAGTGAGACTCTGTCTCAAGGACGTGTGTGTGTGTGTGTGTGTGTGTGTGTGTTAAACAGCTAATCACCAAAAGTCCCACCCCAGGGATGCTGACTTCCATACAGCTGTATAGGTGCCCACTTAGTTAACCGCCCACATTTATATATTAGCAACTCCCAGGAGACACTAGCCTAGTAAGAATGGTTTATTAGAGAGTGAGCCCCAGAACCTGAGGTTATGGAGCCCCTGTGGGGTGAACAGGACAGGATCAAGGAGGAGGCTAAGTGCAGTGGCATTTCAATTGCATTTTAATAAAGTTTGCCTGAAGATCGGAGAGTAAAACAGTTCCACTGCTCAGCCTTACAGACCAGGTTATGGCGAAAGGCACCTTTAATCCCAGTAGCCAGTAGAAGCCATAGAAACCAGGTGGTGCACACCTTTAATCCTAGCCCTAGAGAGGATGATAAAATGGAAGGAAACAGATCTCAACACACAGTCTCATTCTGAGATTCCTGGAGTCAGGATTGCCATTTCAGACTGAGGTCGAGGTAAAAGCCAGTTTCAGATCTTCAGGTTGAACCCCTGAGTTTTTATTAATCCGTGCTTCAGTTGAGGGTGAATCTATAATAGGAATTACTTTCCTTTTGGATCTCAGTTCTGTTTGTAAACAATGCCACTGTGACTGTCCTGTCCCTTGTGTAGCTAAGGCAGATTTACAACTGGGAGAGGGCACCGGTGTTAAGTGGCTGAAATCTCAGGTCTAATGTCCCTCTTCATACCCTCCCAGAAGAGAACATTAAGCCAGAACTCGGTGAGTGTGGTGTCATAGGTGAATCTCTGGGAGTTCGAGGCTAGCTTGGTCTACTTAATTCCAGGGCAACCATGCCCCTATTTCAAAAATAAAACAAACTAAAAAAGCTTATCTTGTTTAGTTTTTTAAATTTATTAAAGCATTAAATGCAGGTGTGTAGAGGTCCGAGGACAACCCTCAGGAATGTTTGGATCTTCCACCATATATGTCCTGGGGGAATGGAACTCAGGTTGTCAGATTTAGCCGAAATTGCCAGCCCCTTCATTGTCATTTTTTTTTTTAAATTAGACCAGGCTGCTAGCCCATGGGAAGGTGCTGCCCCCAGCTGAGTCTTCCCAGTCACTCTAATTTAGATTAGCCCTCAAGGCATGCCCAGGTGCTAACCTAGTCCAGAGGATTGCTCACAGGTGTGCCAGGTTTGCCTTCTAGATCCTGTCAAGTCGGCGGCCCATCTCAACCATCACAGTGGAAGAGCCTAGGTTTTGGGAACAATCTGCACAGGTGTGGGAAAGGATCAGGCAGTGGCTGCCTTCTTCTTGTGTAGACAATAGTTTCTTCCTCTCCACTCCTGCCAAGTAGAGCAGGGCTCTTGCCGCCAGTTTCGTGGACTCAGGCAGTCCATCGGGAGACACCAGATCTGGATCTGGCCACTGTGGCTGACTTCTGCTGGTGAGGGGGAGAGCCAGACACTGGCACCTTGGGTAGGAGAGAACACTGGGGAAAGCAGTGAGGGTTTGGAAGCCGACAGGACTCCAGGGACTTGAGGCTGCTTATCTATCCTACGCTGGTTGGGATCTCAGCTCTGATAGTATGTGGGGGAGACGTGAGCAATTCTGGACCTCAGTTTCTTCTTCTGTAATGTTTATTTCAGCACTGAGGATGGATTGAACTCATAGTTTCAAGCACATTAGGCAAGCTCTGTCCTACTGAGTTATAGTTCTATCCTTTTTTTTTAAAAAAAAATTTATTTATTTATTATGTATACAGTATTCTGTCTGTGTGTATGTCTGCTGGCCAGAAGAGGGCACCATATGGTTGTCAGGAATTGAACTCTGAACCTTTGGAAGAGCAGGTAATGCTCTTAACCACTGAGCCATCTCTCCAGCTCCCCCTTTTTTTTTTTTTTGGTTTTTTTTGAGACAGGGTTTCTCTATAGCTTTGGAACCTGTCCTGGAACTAGTTCTTGTAGACCAGGCTGGCCTCGAACTCACAGAGATCTACCTGCCTCGGCCTCCCGAGTGCTGATTAAAGACGTGTGCCACCAAAGCCCCGACTTTTTTTGTTGGGGGAGACAGGTCTCTATAATCCTGACTGTCCTGCAGCTCACTCTGTAGACCAGGTTGGCGTCAAACTCAGAGCTATACCTGCCTCTGCTTCTCGAGTGCTAGGATGAAAGGCGTGGGCTACCACGTAATGCTTGGCTTTTTTCCTCTTTAAACACCAACTCCATTCTGGAGAGTTTTGAGGGTGGAATAGGGAAGTGAGGTGCTTGATGTGTTGAGAAGCAGCAGACCAAGGCATAAAGACCTTTCCCTCCACTAGCTGGGACCCCTGGAAGTCAGCCTGCAGCACACCCACTGGTGGAAGGTAAGCAGAGGCTCACAGGGTGCCCCAGTGCCTGCTGCCTGGATCACACTCCTGACTGAATGTGATGCTACAAACCTCTAGCTGTGAAGGTGGTGCCAGCCTGAGTTCTACAGTAACACCTGGTGGCTGGAGATGGTTCAGTGGTTGTCAGGAGCTCCTACTGTTCTTACAGAGCACCTGAGTTCCTTTCCCAGCACTCCGCTCAGGCGGCTCACAACCAGCTGTAACTGCAGCTCCAAAGGATTCAATGCCTCTGGTTTCCACAGGCCCATGCACTCAGGTGCACATGCCCACATACATATGACTAAAAATTATACATTAAAAAAATCACCAACACCTATTAATCCCAGTACTCAGGAGGATGGGGCAGGGGAATTGTCAATTTCTTAGTATTTATTTGCAGAATGGCTATTCTTTCTTTGTTTTTCAAGACAGGGTTTCTCTGTAGCATTGGAGCCTGTCCTGGAACTTGCTCTGTAGACCAGGCTGGCCTTGAACTCAGAGATCCGCCTGCCTCTTTCAATTTGGTTTTTTGAAACAGGGATTCTGTGTAGACCTATCTGACCTGGAATTCACTATGTAGAACAAAGCTGGCTTTGTGCATGCAGATCCGCCTGCTTCTGTCTCCTAAGTGTTGGGATTAAAGGTATTTGCCACTACCTTCAGGCCAGAATGGCTATTTTTTAAAAAATATTTATTATGTATACAATATTCTGTCTATGTGTATGCCTGCAGGCCAGAAGAGGACACCAGACCCCATTAAAGATGTTTGTGAGCCACCATGTGGTTGCTGGGAATTGAACTCAGGACCTTTGGAAGAGCAGGCAATGTTCTTAACCTCTCAGCCATCTCTCCAGCCCCCCAGAATGGCTATTTTAAAAAGCCTACCTGGACAACCATTCTCCAATCCTCAGGTACAGCTTTTTGTTTGACAAATAATATTACAAATGGTTTCTGGTCTCCGAAACCACAGGGATCCCAAGTATGAACAACTTTGACTATAAAAACGGAGTTGGGGTGGTGGGTGTACAGGCCTTGCTGAGGAAGCAGGAGCTGTTGCTAAGAATGGAGGCAGAGAAGGATTCAGAAGATGGGCAGAGGGGAGGGAAAGGCGAGGTTTGTTTTTCCCCAGACAGGGTTTCTCTGAGTAGCCCTGGAACTCACTGTGTAGACCAAGCTGGCCTCGAACTCAGGCCTGCCTCTGCCTCCCTGGGATTAGACACTTGCTTCAGGCTCTGCTTAGGGTGGCACACCCACTGAGTCACTTCCTGCCCTGAAGAGCTCCTGAGCAATTCAGGGCAGCCTGGGCAGTATACCCAGAGATGCCAATGTAGAGCCACCAATAGACAATGACAAGGCTGGTGCCCCGCAAATGGCTACAGCCTTATTTGGGAGACTTGTCTTTTGAGAACTAGAGAGATGGCTTGCTGTCTGTGAGCACTATTGCTCTTGCAAAGGACCAGAGTTCAGTTCTCAGCACCCATGTGGTTGGTGGCTTACAACTGCCCATAACTCCAGTGTAGGGGCTCTGATGCCCTCTTCTGGCTTCCAGTCACCTGCATTCATTCATACACAAAGTCTCACTCAAAACCCTAAAATTTGTCTTTTGCTTGTGAAAATCTCACAAACGCAGAAAATCTGGTGAAAGGAAAAACAGAAACTTCTGACTTCTACTTGGGACTCAACATTTCCTCTCATGTTGTGCGTTTGCCAGAGAGGTAAATGGTGCCCTGAACATAACCATGCAGCCACAAAGAACATAGTTGTGTAGCTCAGGCTAAACTCTAGTTTATGATTTCCAGAATGGCTGGAATTATAGTCATAGACCACCATGAATAGTTTCCCCCTGAAACATATTCTTTATTCTTGTTTTCTTCTTCTTCTTCTTCTTTTTTTTTTTTTTTTTGATTTTTCTAGACAGGGTTTCTCTGTAGCTTTAGAGTCTGTCCTGGAACTAGCTCTTGTACACCAGGCTGGCCTCGAACTCAGAGATCCACCTGCCTCTGCCTCCCAAGTGCTGGGATTAAAGATGTATACCTCCACCACTTGGCTAATTGTGTATTCTTAGTTGATCTTTTTTTTTTTTTTTTTTTTAAACAGTTGCTTTGTCATCAGGCATTTGAGTTCCTGGTCTTTTTATTGATTGTTCAGTCTGTTCAAACTACCTTTGCTGTGATGTGTGTCCTCCTCTCTCAAGATAAACAGGGTAGAAATTACTTTCATTTGACAGGTGAAGAAACTGAGGCACAGAGGAGTCAAGTGATTCGGTCAAGGATATCGAGCTGGTTATTGACAGAGGCGCTGCCTGGGACTCCAAAGAGATAAAGTTTTCTGGCTTGGTTCTCATGCTAATAAAGAGAAAGGAGACAAAGGAGGGGAATAACATAAAAGACCATCGTCAAACTCTCGTCTCAAAATATTTAATTTTGTTTGAAAAGGATACATTCCCAACTTCCCTCCCTACCACATCACTCCGGCCCACCAGCAGTGGCACACTCGCACAGGCACACACACACATAAGGCCAATGGGCTGCTGTCTGCTTCTACCTCTGCAGCTGGGACAAAGGGTTTTCTCCTGACCTCTTTCCCCCAACAAAGGTAGGGAGAGGGGCCGCTGGAATGCGGCTCCCGGGGAGGATGCAGAGCCCCACACATTCTACCAATCACATGCACTTAGAAAAATAAAACCAAGTGGTGTTCTGGCATCCTAATACCAAAAGACAGCAATCTCTACCTGGAAATCATCTTTGCCTTTTTCTAGAAAAATTTATTGCACTTAATTAACAGATGTTAAAGAAGCTGTGGGTGGGGCTTAGCCCTAAAAATCAGGAACTCCACGCCCCTCCTTACAAGGAGCACACCTCTCAGAGCCACTGGAGAGCTTCACGTGTGTCCCCAGGCTGGAGGACTGGAGGAGCTGCCTGAGTGAAAAGCAGACCACAGCACCCTCTCAGCAGGGAGTGTGGACCAGGGGTCAGGTTCACTGCCTAGTACCGTCCCCAACCAAGGAAGTCAGACCCACAGAACTCAGCCTTTGGACCAAGGATAAGGTGACTCAGGCAGGTACTCCACAGGGCGGAGTTTTCTCCAAACGTGTGTAGTTTTTTTATACAGACATTTCTTGTATGTACATTCCTGCAGCATTCTAGCTCATTCATGCATCTTTTTTGAGGTCGCAATAGAACAGGACGCTTAGGAAGTGACAGCACTTCTCATCCCAAGGCGAACCCACGGAGAGCCAAATAGAAGTTGGCTTCTCAAACCTGCTACTCTTTAGAAGATGTCAAAGATCTGAGTGCAGGAGACTCAGGCTTCAGTCATCAGCTCCTAGGTTGATTCAGGAGACTTTCATGGCAAGATAAACAGCAGAGATCAATTCTTTCTGCACAGTCTTAGGTCCTAAAGCCAACAGAGGAGCCGAGTTTATGTGAACACTTTTTTCTCCAAGATGTCAACTTCCAGGCATGCTTCTTCCCGTACCATTGCTTTTCAAAGGCTTCTCCAAGAAGCGAGCGCCATATCATTTCCAAGTAAGCACTTTAGGAGGAGCCAGACCCCCCTGACTTCTGGAAGGAAAGGAGGGCACCACAAGGCAGAAGGTAGGACCAAGGGAGACACATTAAGCCCCAACCCACCCACTAGGGTCAGAACACAGATGGCATCCAGAGCTAAGTATCCATTCCTTAAAAACTAAAACTTAAAAAACACAAACCGTACATTTTCTAGCCAAAGTGAACGAAAAGCCTTTTAGCTCAAGGCTTGTCCACCAGTAAGGAAGTGAGAACTGCCTCTGGGTGAACAGCCGGCTCAGAGTGCCGGGTAGGTGGGAGGCAGGTAGCCAGGGCAGAACACTGACATGCTGGGTGCAACTGCCCTTTGTGGTTACAACAGAGTGACAAGTGTGCACATGGTTCCTACAGAACCACAGTCAAAGTCACGGATCTAGAAGGAGGGAGACCTCCCTTGGCCTCAGGGACCTTTGTCAAGAGGTGATGTGCAGGTCCCTGGAGGAGCAGGGCATCTCCTGGCTGCAGTCCATGGCCAGTAGACGGTTTGCCCTGGTCTTAAAATTATGAAAAGTCTTGAAAGATTGGGGCCCCAAACAAAGCCACTGTTTAAAATAAAGCCAGTGTTAAGAATAAGAAAGCACCCTCGTCACCTCTGTCTCCTTCACACAGGCTGCCCGCCCTGAGCAAATAAACACACCCTCCTAGAGGGTGCCCTGACTGACCCACATGAACAGAGGGTTCCACGGTTTCCTTAGCCAATCCTCTGGGCAGAGCAAGAGGACAAGTTCAGTCAAACGTAAGAGAAGGGTGCAGCTGTGAGGCAGAGGAAGCCAAAGCTGCAAGAATCGCTCCACCCCATGGCCAGACCTGTGTGGTCAGCCCCTGACTCCTGAGACCAAGACTGAGGGACTCCAGGCCAGTGTAAATGTCTCCAGAGCTGCTGTCCTTTGAGATCTGTAATGTGACTTCAACAAGTGCACTCCTCTGAGGCTGCACCCTGACACTCATGGAGAGGATTCTGTCTGCAAAGTGAAAGGCCCTCTTCTGCCTTTAGGGAGACTGGATTCTGGCCTGGGACACATCAGTGAGTCAGAGCAAGGAACCAATGGAGCATCACAAGAGACAGCCCCTCACTCTGATGCCCACAACAGGAGGCTGTGGAGGCCAGTTTCCTAAATACCATGTAGAATTAATTGGTACCCTGGACCAGGAAGCCTAAGTTTCCTAGATGATGGGGTTTCTTTCTAAACCTAAGATCCAAGAATGGTTCCTGGGTAAGAATAACCAGAAGCCAGGCAAGCAGAGGTCAGGAGCCTCCAGACTGGCCTGGGGGTAAAAAAGCCTCTCTAGGTGCTGGCAATTGGAGCCCAGAGAGCAACCACCCTGGGAATGTCTCTTCCGTAGCAAGTGGGATGTAGAGGGAGCTGATTCCAGGGCTGCTTCAGGTCTGAGAGCAAAAGATAAAAGGGATGTGGGAGCTAAGAAGGGTAGGATGCACTTCTGCTGGTAGCCCCAAACTCCACTCCAATTCCAGGCTATGCAGAGACCCCACTCTCGTGGTCCACCACCCTCCACACACTAACAGAGTATTAGTGTGTCCCGGCTCTGAGACAGATGGGAATGAATGTTTCTCTCAAAGAATTTTTGGGGACAGTGAGGTGCATGACAGACACACCCCAAGTGGAAATGCACCTGCTACCTGAGACAACATTAGGGTGACAACAATCATGACTCACTCTGTAGACAGCCCTTGTCAGGCCAGACTGAAGACTGAGGGAAGGCTAGGAAAGCCTGAGCACTGTGGAGCTCTGGACTCCAGAGGTCCCTTCTGATTCAGCTGGGACATCCAAGAAGAGAAACTTGGGCCGTGTACCCGTCTACGCAGATTCACTCATGTTCCCCTCAGAGAGGAGCCTGATCCCCTGGGGAAGTCACCACGTGTGCTGGCCATGTTGTAATGAAGCTGAGACATGAACGCTCCTAGAGCAGACCATGTGCCCATGAAGAGTCCTAAGTCTCCACACGAGTGTGGGGTCCTGGGAGCCCCAGGCAGAGGTCTGAAGTGCAGGCAGTGCCCTGCGGGGCAAGGGGCACAGGTTACAAGGGCCCGTACTTGGTCTCATACTTGGACACGATGGTCTTGCACTTGCCCACCTCCTTGCGAAGCTCAGCGACCTCCGTCCGCAGGGCTGTGTTCTCCTTCTCCAGGAAGGCGGCCCGGATGGTGATCTGGTTCTCCTTCAGGCGCCTGGCATCCCGGGAGCGTTTGGCTGCCACATTGTTCTTCTTGCGTCTTGTCCAATACTTTTCATCCTGTGGGAAAGTACCCTCTGTGGGTGGTCTTGTATTCCCCCTGAGAACCTAATCTTCCCACCCCAAGGTCTACCACCCCCACAGTTCAGTGCTGTGGTTAAAAGAAATATTGTGGACACTGCCCTGTCTTCAGAGGGGCAGGCTGCAGCGTGTCAAGCATCTGCCTTGACAGGCAGTGTGCTGCTGTGTGCTCTACCCTTCCCTCCTTCAGGCATATTGGTTAACATCTATCTCTATCTCTGCGACAAGGTCTCTGCTTTATGGCTCTCGTTGTCTAAGAAATCACTGTGTAGACCACCTGGCCTTGAACTCCCACCAATCTGGCTGCCTCTGTGTTCCAAGTGCTGGGATGAAGGACTTGTGCTGCCACACCATGCTTAGTGGTGGCTAAAGCCATCAAGCTAAGTGCAGTCCCCTGAGATCAAACCTGACACTACAAGACCATGCAAGAAAGAGGGAATGGGAAGGAAGAGAGGAGGTGCACGCCCACACCCCATGCTACATGTGTGGATGTTAGAGGAAAACTTTTGGGGGCCGATCCTCGTTGTCTATCTTGTTTGAGACAGGGTCTCTTCATTGTTCACTGCTGTGTTTGGCAAGATAGGTGGCTCAGAGTTTCCAGCAATTCTCCTACCCCTGCCTCACTTCTCCCATTAGGAACACTGGGACACCAGACACACACTGTTACAGCTTTCCCATGGGTTCTTTTTTTTTTTTTTGGTGGCAAATGCTTTACCCACTAAGCCAGTGGTTCTCAATCCATGGGTTGCAACTCCTTTTGGGGGGCGGGCAAACAACACTTACACAGGGGTTGCCTAAGACCATGGGAAAACACAGATATTTACATTATGATTCATAACAGTAGCAAAATTATTTATAAAGTAGCAATGAAATAATTTTATGGTTGAGGGGGTCCCCACACATGAGGAACTGTATTTAAGGGTCACAGCATTAGGAAGGATGAGAACTAAGCCTTCTCCCCAGCCCTACAAGGTGTCTTTTGTCCTTTAACTGTTAAACACTGCTTTCTGTGGTCTAGTGACTTTTCTTCCCCATGGCTGGACTAATGCCAGGGAAGTGGAACACTAACCAGAGGCTCTGGAAAGAAGGGAACTATTGGAGTCATTGGGGCCAACCTTGCCTAACTCTCTCTTTCCATCAAATTGCTGTTGATATGGCTCCAAGCACAGAACTCCTATAGTAGCTACGGTAGGAAGAGTTCTCCATATAAAAATCAGGTATGAGGCCAGGCGGTGGTAGCACATGCCTTTAATCCCAGCACTCGGGAGGCAGAAGCAGGTGGATCTCTGAGTTTGAGACCAGCCTGGTCTACAGAGTGAGTTCCAGGACAAGTCCCAAAGCTACACAGAGAAACCCTGTCTTGAAAAACCAATAAAAGGGCTGGAAAAATGGCTCAGATGTTAAGAGCACTGACTGCTCTTCCAGAGGTTCTGAGTTCAATTCCCAGCAACCATATGGTGGCTCACAGCCATCTGTAATGAGATCTGGTGCCCTCTTACAGCAAGCATACAGACAGACAGAACACTATATACATAATAAATAAATAAATCTTTTTTTTAAAAAAAGAAAAACCTATAAAAAAATAACAAAATAAAAACCCCCAAAACAAAATAAAACCAAAAACCCATCAGTCCCTACTCTAGTTCTCTCTCTCCTCTTTGGTTTTCCAAGTCAAGGTTTGTGTGTATAACAGCTCTAGCTGTCCTGGAACTCACTCTGGAGGCCAAGACAGACTAGCATTCAGAGATCTGCCTGCCTCTGCCTCCTGAGTGCTAGGAATAAAGGTGTGCACTGGCACCTTTACTTCTCTTTGAAGTGTTAAAGA